CGTGAGGACCAGTATGTGACGTTTCGCTACCGAGTTGTGAAAGTGTCGAAGGGCCAGGTGTATGGCCCTGAGCTCCAACCAGCTTATATTGTGTCGAAGGTTGGACCGGGACTAATGGCCTTGGGCCCACTGTGATTGTAGGTGCGCACCCCAACCAAATAGACTGGCGTTGGTTGTCAGAGTTATTCGGTCCAGTTCCTTGAATGAGGACCCTCTGAGTATGGCCAATGAGAGCCACCCATCTGAGGGAGAGCGACACTCTGAGTGGAATTCGCACTTTCCGAATTGACGGTTCTGTCTCTGGAAAGGGAGCAGAAACCACTGAAGTGTCCTGGAATGGAGCCTGGCCCAAGGAACGATGGCAATGGCTGATATCAATTTCCCCAGTAATTGGGAGAGACTTGCTATTGTTGCCATGCCGCTCCCGCATATTTGTAGGACCAACTGACATATGCTGTCCCGACGTTCTTGGGATAGAAAGACACGACAGTCGACCGTGTCTATGATGGCCCCTAGGTGTAATAGCAAGTGACAAGTGACTCTTTGAAAAATTCACTGAAAACCCGTGATTTTGGAGAAGGTTGATTACCCTTTCTAGATCCGTCAGAGCAGCTTGTCCTCATGATGACTGAATCAGAATGTTATCCAGGTAACACTGGATCCTGACAGGCACCATCTGGAGGTGAGCTGCTAGCACAGCGAGGACCTTGGTAAAAACCCTTGGGGCCGAGGATAGACCGAAAGGTAACACCCTGTAATGGTAGTGTCTGCCCCTGTAAGCAAACTGTAGAAACCAGCGGTGGCTGAGAGAGATGGGGATGTGAAGATAAGCTTCTGGGAGATCTACGGACATCAGAAACTCTCCTCTTCTTATGCTTCCGAGAATTGACTGGAGCATTTGCATCTTGAATTTTCTGTAAACAAGATGCCGGTTCAGTCTTTTTAGATCTAGGATTGCTCTCCATCCTCCCGAGGCTTTGGGAATGACGAAGAGGATGGGGTAGAATCCCCGACCTCTCTGATCCAACGGTACCGGTTCTATGGCCCTTATGTTTACGAGATGCTGAATGGCCTGTTGCATCAACCTTTTCTTTGTGAGATTCCTTAATTGGGGACAAGAGAGGAAGTGTTTCGGAGGGTAGGTGAGGAATTCTAGGGAGAGCTCATGACGAACCATGTTCAACACCCATACGTCTGTGGTGGTGACCTCCCACTGGCTGGCAAAGAGAGAAAGTCTACCGCCTATGGGAGAGACCGCCGGAGAGTCATCTGGAACGATGGAAAGGCCAACCGCTCCCACAAAAGGGCCGTTTGCCCTGAAATTGTTGTCTGGGCTTAGAGCCCATTCTGTCTGATTGTCTGTCCTGTCTAACAGGAAAGGAGCGGGGCAGACAGGAATAATCCTAGTCCCTGAACAAAAGGACTGCCTCCGTGAGTATGTGTTGGATCTTTTGTCCGGACGTTTAATAAGGTGATTGAGGACCTTACGCTTATCCTTATTCTCTGTAAGGTAAGGATCTAAAGCTTCGCCAAACAGCTTCCCTCCCGGTAAGGGGCTGCGGACAGGCACCATTTGGACCTGGTGTCTGCATGCCAGTGTTTCAGCCAAAGCATATGACGTCCAGTAATGTTGGAAGCCATGGCCCTGGCTGAAAATCTGGCCACCTGCAGTGTTGCATCGGAAGCATATTCCGTTGCTGCCACCAATTTGCTCAAATTGCAAATTTTATCACTGCCACTCAGGATGGGAAGGGTACCCGGGGATTCTCACTGTTTCCTGATCGCATTCAGAAACATAGAAGGACATGGTATGCAGTGTTGTGTGGTTACCAGTTCAATGAAGTTCGGATCCGCCTCCGAGTCCGGAGCTGCAGTCGAATTTGATGTAGAAGGCTCGGGACCAAGATGGGCCGTGGAAGTGGCCTTTCGGAGCAAGGGAACAAAATGAGATGAATTAAAGAGACCCATAAAGGATGGCATTTCAGGAGGTTTATCCTCCTGATCCGACATCGGAATCCCCACATCATACTCACGAAAGGATGAACCCTCAGAGTAAGAAGATTGTGAAGGTGAAGTAGGTGCACCATATGCCTCCGTCATTGGCTGGTAAGGGAGAAACCGAGGTAGCCCTAGGTACCTGAGATCTAGCCTGAAAGGCACGCTCTACCACCTGAGCAATCAACTCATTTAGACGGTCCTCAGTGGGCAGAGGGACCGGCTCTGGTAGTCTGAGTCCAGACGCTGTGAGGGTAAAAGTGACTTCTGGGGTGGACTGCAGAGTCCGCTGAGCCACAGGCTGCAAGATGTGTTCTCGATGAGATGAATCACTGGTAGAGTGATAAAGACTGTGTCTCCTGTGGACCAGATTCCCAGAGGGGAAGTGGAGGGTCCCATGGTAAATCAAATGAAGGAACTTCAGCCTGAGTGGTTTCAGTCCTGGTCTGTTCTTGGGCTTTAGAGAATACCCTCTCTAATGCCCGGTGTCTCCTACTGGCCTGTCTTTCCTCCTTTTTAGATGTTTTTCCTGCAGATCTAGCCTTGGTTTTAGCCTTGGCTGAAATCTTACCTGTCACCTCTTGGTTGGAAGATTTCTGTTGTTTAGAGGCTGATGAAAGAGGTGAAAGTCCCTTCTTGGAAGAGCCAGATTCTTCCATCTTTGTGGATTATCATAGAAGCACGATTGGGTACTCCTGGTATCCAGAGGCAGCTGTTTGTCTACTCTGGATAAACACAGGAGCATGATAGGGTACCTCTGGAATCCAGAGACAGCTGTTATTGTCTACTTGGATAATCACAGATGCACGATAGGGTACACCTGGTATCCAAGGACAGTTAATTTGTGGATAGCACAGGTGCACGATAGGGTACACCTGGTATCCAAAGATTGCCAATTAGTGGATAACACAGGTGCACGATGGGGTACACCTGGTATCCAGGGACTACTAATTTATGGATAACACAGGTCCATGATAGGGTACACCTGATATCCAAGGACTGCTGATATATCGTTTAACACAGGTACACAGGTACACAGGAGCATGATAGGGTACCTCTGGAATCCAGAGACAGCTGTTATTGTCTACTTGGATAATCACAGATGCACGATAGGGTACACCTGGTAACCAATGACTATTAATTTGTAGATAACACAGGTGCACGATGAGGTACACCTGGTATCCAGGGACTACCAATTAATGGATAACACAGGTGCACGATAGGGTACACCTGGAATCCAGAAACTGCTATTTTGTGGGTAAACCCAGATGCACGAAAAGGTACACCTGGAATTCAATGCTGCTATACAGGGAGAGTCCAGGACCTACTGTGTATGTAAATAATACTGAGTGTATATGAGGAGACACCAGTTCAAATTCTGCTAGAACAGTGGTTCTCAACCTGTGGGTCAGGACCCCATTTGGGGTCGAACGACCATTTCACGGGGGTCGTCAAACAACGCAGTCCGCCAGTTTTTTCCCCTTTTCCTTAGCTGTGCTACTCCCTTTTATTCTATTGGCTTTTGAAAGCCAATAGAATACTCTCTTGAATAGAGTCTAATTCTATTGGTTTTCAAAAGTCAATAGGAATTGTCCAGGCTGTCTCTGCCCTGCTGAGCCCGCCAAAAGTCCCCTTCTGCAAATGGTGCTGCACCAGTTGAGTAGTCCTCGACTTACAATCGGTTGAATAGTCCTCGACTTACGACCAGTTGGGGGTCGCGGCATTAAAAAGGTTGAGAACCACTGTGCTAGAAGGAGAATGTTACTAACTGAATAACTGTTTTGAAAAAGGATTCAGTGCAGGCTCCAACAAAAAAAAACGTTAATCATGAAAAGAACTGTTAGTTCTCAAAATGGATTCAAGATGGCTGCCGATGTGAAAATGAAACTCACTGAGACTGTTCAACAATAGAGAATGGTGTTCATATCCACAAAATGGCGGACACAATTCTTAATAATTATTTTGCCACCACTATACATCTCTGAGCCTCCCTATAGGATCCAGAGAACTCCTCCAATGAGAAAAACACTAAAGAACTTCAACGGAGCAGTCAAAGCCTCCAAAAAGCAAATGGAGCTCGCCTGCATCTGCCACACTGCTTAGCCGCCTAATTGAACCATCAGCCAGCTGATTCGATGAAAAAAAACCCCTTCGGAGCAGCGTGTGCTCAGCCAGCAACAGGGGCTGCAATAGGGAAGCGACGATCCCTCAGCCTCCCAGAACAGCAAGGACAGCCTGTAAATAACGAAAAAAGACAAAAAACCCCAGCGTTTTAAACTGCTGATAAGCCTGCCTGCTGATTAGCACTTCCACCCCACCCCCCTTGAATCGTAATTCTTGGAGCTGCGTTCCAGACCCCAATCAGGGAAGGAAACTAAAGCAAAATAGAAAGGACAACTATAGTTGTTCCTGGAGAAATTATTAAATGGAACTGAATTTAATAGGAATCCAACAGAGAAGGTTAGAGAGGATAGAAGAAAACGAAACTGAAAGACAACGAAACGTAGAAAGAGAAGCTGATCCCAGCCTCACTTTAAGATTAAGAGGGGAAGGAGGGGGATTGAAATAAACAGCAATCTAACCCTAGTGCTGAGCCCAGCACTGATCAGAAAACTATTTAAAGTCAAGGAAAGATGGAAAATCCACCAATGAAGACTATACCTGCCTAAGAGCCAAACTTGCACGTCTGTTCATGACCAAGATCAAGTCAAGACTGGGACCTTCTAGCCCAGGAGAGGCGTGACAACTTTGGCTGACTTGATCTGATTGGGCAGGAACACAATCTAAATCCATTGGTGGATTCTCCATCTCCAGTGCTGGAGAAGGTGACCCTTTGAAAGCTGTATGCAACAAAATTTCATTTTAATGTATGCCGATTAGTATATATTCAAAGTGACAATAAAGTTAATATTCTATTATATTGTAATCCATGGGTCATCAGAAACAGAAAAACTAAAAATGCAATTTTAGTTTATAGTTGCAAATAGGTTTCAAATGTAACTTACAGTTGTCCATCCAAAATATTATAGGTGGTGGTAACCCTGCTGGTGGCCTGCAGGGAAGAATTGCATATTGACCTTCAGTAATTCTTACTGGAACTAGCTTTTCTTTAGTCCACAAAGGAGATCCTACACGGAACACAAAATACCGTCATTTAATCTTAGAATGAAAAGAAATAACCAGGAAAGAAAAATACTGTTATATAGTATAAATGTCAGACAAAATGAAAATTGTATTTAATTTTTAAATACAAGTTAACAAACAAAATGGTATTCTTTCTTAGGTAGGATTTTGATTTTGCTGAGTGTTATAACCTGAAAGCAAGCATTTCAAACATAGAGGGAAAACTATTTGCAAGAACTGAAGAGAAATAAAAGTTTCATTAATATTAAACTTACGGGATGCTCTTATAACAATATTATTGGAAATTGCTGCTCCAAGCACATTTCTTGCTGTACACTGATAGATGCCTTCATATAATTCTGCTTTTCCTCCACTTTCTTCATTAATAATATTTATTAAAAGAGTCCCTGAGTGAGGCTTCATTCTTATTCGTGGATCTTTTTCTATATCAAAGTGAGTTCCATTACGTGTCCATGAAAAGCTATCAATAAAATAAAAACACTGAAAAAGTTCTTTATTAAAAAACCACTTGTTTTAAGAGAATGTATAAGTTATAACAGTATAAAGCCAATATAAATAATAATAATAATAATAGTAGTAGTAGTAGTAGTAGTAGTAGTAGTAGTAGTAGTAGTAGGATAGCCAATTAAACATGTGAGAAGCAAAGATAACAATTTTCTTAAAACACTTATCTCTATTTAATCCTTTTTACTTTTCTTTTCATTTTCTCAAATAACAAAAAAGTTGATTATGGGCCACCACATAGACTTCCATATCTTGAAGGCTTATAAACTGGTTCATAATCATTGATATATCTGATTAAAGAGTAAAAATTCTTAAGAAATTTGTTATATTCTTATTATTACAATAGTTTGCCTCTTCAGAAACTTTGTGATTCTTCTACTAAGATATCAATCCTTTTTCCTGGAATTCATATATTCTTTTCAGAATTACTTTGTCTTCTCCTCTGACATTTGTAATTTATCCACTCTAATTAGGAAGTTATAGTTTCTTAACTTCTTTATTTTTAAAGTAAGTAGAATCACCCCTTACCGCCTGCTATTTATAAATTGTGAAAAGGAAAACCTTTGAATTTTTTTTAGCATACTATATTTTTAGCAAAGTAAAATTAAAAATAATGAACATGCTGTGTAATTTTTTTTACATATACAGTAGGACAGTATATGGTATGACCTGATTAACTGCTTTCTCCATATACAGCAGCTACATCATTAAGATGCACTTGGGATGATGCTTATTTGCTCTAAATTATAACACAACTTAAGAAAGCATGTTCTCAATGCTCATATCCCAAGTATGATTGAACAGAGATAAATTTTAGATAAGTTAACAGCACATTCAATCAGAGCAGTGTGATGCGTATAGTGGTACCACAAAATCTGATCAAACTTAGTCCAACATACTGAATCCAATGACAGGTTCAATCATCTCCTCCCCTTCTGAATATGGAATATAAGAATCCAGCACGGATACAATATTCTATTAATGTATTTAGTTAGACCACAAATACTTTGGCCACTTAGATCTCAGCAATGGTTCTGGTTATGAAGGTTAATTATTTAACATTTGTGGCCTAGGCAAAACAAAATGTAGGAAATACTTTTAAAGGAAATAATATCAAAATGAAATAATTTCAGAGGCAAACTTCTGACATAACCATTTAAAAAACATCAGTTAAGTATTTATATGACTTATTTTGATCTGGAATCAAATTTATCTTTGTATCTGTAAATCATTGGGTCAACTTCATAAGATTTAGATATTAAGGCTGCAGTTATGGAAATGAGAGGAAACTGATTATCCAAACCTGCTTTTTTCAGGCATACATAAGATTGCATTATAAAAAGATAATAAACTTATGTATACAAGATAATCAATCCAGTAATCACTTAAGGCTAATGTTTTCCTTTGGCTGTATGCTATATTATAAAAAGCAATGAATGCATACAAATCTAGGACTTACGTAGGAGATGGTTTTCCTTTTGCTTCACACTGTATTACAATATTCTCTCTTGGGTCAATAATATAATCTTTTGGAGACTGCTGTGTTATTGTTGGAGGCTGTGACACTTTTTAGAGAAGGTGATCAAAGAGAAAATGGAAAAATACATTTTTATTCACTGGTTTTAAATTCCTCTTTCCCTTCAAGAACTCAAGGTGGCAAATAGAGTACTTCCTTCCCCAGCTATTTCCACAAGAACAACCCTGTGATGTGAGTTGGTTGAGAGAAAATGACTATGTCAAAGTTACCTAGGGAGCTAAAGATGGACTTGAACCTGAATCCCCTCAATCCTAATTTTACAAATTAATCATCTCCCTAAAGTGGCTGAATAATAGTAAAGTTAATTGCAAACATTTAATGTATTAAAATCATACTTAAGCCCACAAGGGAATAAGCTTTTCTCAAAAGAACATTATCATTACATGGCTGTAGAACTGCATTCTAATGTACGTAAAACAACTTTTTCTACATACAAAATTTTAGGCAATTTAGCTAAGCTACCAATTTATACAAGTCACCATTCCAGCACACACAAGTATTATAAACATTTGTTCTTATAAACAAAAACCACTATTTATTTCCCTTGTCAGGCAGTAACTAGTGCTATTTTGTATATTTTGAAATATATATCCAGTAACTGAATTAACTATCCAGTAAGTCATGAAAAGAACTTGATTATACCCAGGGGCCTTGGCCTGATTGTTTTGTTACAGAGAACATCTGCGTATACAAAAAAACTTGTCTACTAGAAAATTCACTGAATTTTTCATCAGTGTTCCTAACACAAAGGGAATTCAGAACATTATCAGATGCCAGGCTAGCATCTTTCCATGTTGACATTCTGGGTAAGGAATTTGGCTCAATTTGTTATTAACTATCCAGTAAATATGAGTCTGGCAATCAATTCATAAGAATGAAAAGAATTGTAGTTTTATATAACAGCAAGTTTTTACATGATGTCATATGTGAAATGAATTATTCATAACTAAGCATATTAATATAGAAAAGCTCTGATGTGAGATTGTAATTGTGAGATGAAAACTGACCTGCTTAAAGTGATTGCGCTTAGAATGCAAGGCTAATCTCTTTAAAGCACAGAAGAGTTCATTTCTATTCAGGACTGTTCCCATTGTCTCAATTCCAAATTCCAGTGATTCAGACAGCTAGTTTCTAGGACACGATCTATGTCTAAATAGTGATGGTCAACTGGAAGGGCTAAATAGTTAAAAGAGTAAGTGCATGTTCACATAGCATATTAGGGCAAATTTTGCACTAATTCCTATGAGAAAAGTATTTACTCTTTTTCTATGGATATTCTCAATCATCCAGGTCATGGTTGTCCCAAAGGTGCTTTTCCAAAAGGTCTTGCACAAGATGACATAACAAACTATAGCCTCCAGAATCTGATATTTAATGACAATTTCTATTACTATCTAAACAAACTTTAGAGAAGGTAGTCAGTATTTTCTAATCCCTACAATTTCAGCTTGGGGTAAAAAGGATTGGAATCAATCTCAGACAGCACAGAAAGGCTACTGCGCCCCCCAGTGCCTTTCTATGCCAATTTTACTCTATCCTCTATCTGCAGGGAGTAGAAACATCAGTAGGTATGGCTGATGAGGCCCATTTTATAACCTCAGGGGTTGGAAGTAAATTAGTCAATGATTGCAAATGTCATATTTATGTAATATATCTAGCAAGATGATGACGGTGTAAACCAGAGTGGGCTACTAACATATGGATAGTATTTTGCTCTCCTCAAGGAAAAGAACCTGATATTTCAAGCAAACAAACTATTAAGCCTTTTCTTTTTCTGCAGAAACAGTATTTCTTCTGAGTATGTATCGTATGATGCATGCATCTTATTGCTTAAAATACAGCTACGTGGTATGGGCTTTGGTGTGCTGGTAAGATTCATATGTATGTCATATGTATTGTGCTTAATAAAAAAACTTTAATGTGTTATATTTTAAGAAATACATCTCTTTCTTATTTTATTTGTAATATGTCTATGGAGATTCTCAATCATTCAGGTCATAGTTGTCCCTAAGGTTCTTTTCCAAAAGGCAACTGGAATTCCTTGGTTTTTTCTTTGAAAACATTTTGCTTGTCACTCAAGGAACTTCTGTTAGAATTGAAAACATTTCTTGGATGAGAAGTGAAACATTTTCAAACAAAAAAAAAAACAAGGAAATTCAGTTTATTTGTAATAAGTTATTTTACTTTAGGAAAGGAGGAAGTAAAAAAAGTATTCTATTTTCTTTGGTTTAACACTTCAAAACAGTTAATAATACATTTATATGAGTTCAGGAAAAGCAAAATTCTAATTGTTCATGCCCATCAATTAAGATAGCAAAAGGAAGAAAACTTGAGCAAATAACACACTTTGTGTACAGATGAATATTTGTTTGGAACATCAGCAACATCTTCCCCTGATACTTTGGCATTAGACCTTGTACATTTAGTGAATAAAAGATATTTTAAATAAGAAAAGTGCCTCTGGGTTTCATTTTCGAAATTGCAGTCAATTCTCTAAATCCTTCTTAAATAATGAGCACTAAATGCATTCAATCCAACTTGCTTTTTAAAATGTTTTTCTTATGAGTTTTAAAGACTATATGAATTCCTAAATGGATAGGTACATGCATTTAAAATATTAAAAATAAATATTTAAACAGTATTTAAATTCATGCCAAAATTGTTCTTGAGTATAGTTTCTACAAGCTATCATCTGTACAGAATATTAAAAATAGCAAACACAATAAAATGGTTTCAGCGCTTAAAAAATGTATTAAGTCACACACATATTTTTTTGTGCAGAACTTACATTTTTCAAGAAGTTTTGCTTTTTTCCACGTATCAGATTCAGCAAGTGAATTGTAAACATGAATTAAAGAAAATTATTTGTTAGTAAGATAGAAGTAATGAAATCTTAGAAAGAAAAGATACAGAGAAAGTATAGGAATCTATACTATAGAGCTTTTCTGACAACAGATATCAAAGTCACTTTATTAGCAAAGAATCAGCATAGACTATTTGGAACACTTGTTTAATGTTGCATTGTCAATTATGAATATTGTTTGTAACTTATATGGGATAATTAGCATTGATACAAATGCCTTGGCTGATATGGAAATAGAATTAATGGATGGCATAGCCTGTTCACTGCAAACAAAAACCAATCAATCTATAGAATTAAATGAAAGAATACATAACAGAGATGGAATGCCCTGTTGTTCATTGTGCCATTTCATTACCCTCTATTTGAGTACAAAAATCCCACATTAATATTTTAGTGAGAACCATTAGTTCATGTTACAATGGAAATTATAACTCTGTGTTTATGACATGGGCTTGAAAAATAAATTAGCCATTCTTGCCAAGGTGATAAAAAATATAAGCTTCAGCAAAGACTATACATTTTACCACTCTCTTCTGATAGCCTTTGTAATAGAATACTGGATTCTAAATACTCTAAACAGTGAGTTATAAGTACTTTAGATAATTATGTGAACTGCATGTAAAACCAGAGTAGATTTTAATGGTTCTAGATGTCTGTTCTTCCTCTGGTTGGTGTATACGTTAATTATTTTTAGAATATAGCCTTTTTTTCTAATCTCAGTGATTACTGCTTGTCAGATCCCCAAATCCCTATTATTTTCCCTGCATATATGCTCTTGTTTTGGGCCTGCCATTCTGCTGGGAAGAAGAGGGAATTTGCTTTTGCTTGGGATAACTTTCTCTTTCTACTTTTCCTCTCCCAACTCTATCCACTTGAGAAAGGAATGTGTCTCCCTTATCAGGGAGACGGTTACAGAAAAACAAAACTGGAGAAGATCTTGAGATGTGCTCCAAATGTGCCAGTTACCCACACATTGCGCCATCTGTGGATTGGCTGGATTTCAAAAGGACATTATGACTCTGGTGGGAGGAGGAATATTGCTGGTTTAACTATACCATTTTAGCGAGGTTTTCCCCAGATCTCGCCTTGAATTCCCCACTGTCACTAACCCCTAATAAAGGTTTCTTTTTGAGACAATGCCTGTTTCAAGAGTTCTGCTTTTTGGGTGGTTAGCTGAGGTGGGTCCTTACATAAGGCGAGATCTGCATAGTACTCAACCTGGAGAAGCTGCTACCCTACCAGGGGAGTTGCAACTGAATTTCACATGGAAGAGTTCCAGGCAGAGAAATGGGCCGAAGATCTCCTATGCCTGAAACCAGATGAAAGCCTCTCCAGGGACCTGGAAGAAGCCAGGCCTTCTGGCCCCCTTTTGGGCTACAAGGGGCCCCTGCAGTATTCATGCAATTGATCAACAAAGTCCTACATGATCATTTGTATAAAGGGGTTTTGGTTTACCTAAATAATATCCTTATTTACACCAAAACCAAAGATGAACACATTAAATTGGTCAGGGTAGTCCTAAAAAAGCTGTGCTCTGCCAAACTGTACACCAAACTGTCAAAGTGTGAGTTCCACAAAGATCATATTGATTACTTGGACTATCATATATCCAACAAGGGAATAGAGATGGACCCAGAGAAAGTGAGAGCGGTCTTGGACTAGGCTCCTCCAAACACCAGGAAACAGCTCCAAAGTTCCTAAGAACTTTTATAGACAATTTATTCCATCGTTTGCACTGATTGTCCTCCCAATCCCAAAGCCCAGTCAACCATTAAAATGGGCAGGAAAATGTCAAGCAGCTTTTGAGAAGGGACGTTGTCTTACCTGAATGCCTTTTCTCAGCATGTAGATGTAGTATCCACCGGTGGGTTATTTCAGCCTTCCTGCTCAGAGAGACTAAGTTTGAAGTTCAGCCACGCCTCCTTGGGGCTGTCCTTCCCCAGTTTTAACGAGGCAAAGCAAATCAGATGCAACAACTCCTCCTGCAATCACACCTGCCTAGACTGACTGTTAAGGGTGGGTGTGGATGCTACATCTACATGCTGAGAAAAGGTGTTCAGGTAAGACAACACCCCTTCTTCAGCATGCAGATGTAGCATCCACCGGTGGGACATACCAAAGCCACCCATGTCCCTGCTGGGAGGGACAGTCTAGGCATGTGTCCCCTGGGAGGAGACAACCTGCTGCAATACCTTTCTGCCAAATGAGGCTTCCGCAGCAGCAAACCTATCAAGTTTGTAATGCCTTATAAATGAAGAGGGAGAAGACCAAGTCGCTGCCCTACAAATTTCTTCAACTGAAGCTTGCATAGATCAGGCCACTGATGTGGCCGCACTGCATGTGTAATGGGCTGTGATATGTTTCGGTATAGGCAGGGATTGGGATCTATATGCATGGGAAATACATGCCCTAATCCACCTCCCTATGGTTGAGGATGAGACCTTCTTTCCCATGGAAGAGGATTGGAAAGACACAAACAGAGCCTCCAATTTGTGAAAAGTGGCAGTCCGCTTGACGTAATGTCGCAAGGCCCTGCGCAAGTCCAATTTATGCCATTGTCTCTCCAGACGATGGGTTGGATTTGGGCAAAAGTTAGGAAGGACCAAGTCTTGGGACCTATGGAACCATGTATTGACTTTCGGAATGAAAGAAGGGTCCAATCTAAGGACCACTCTGTCATCCAGAAACATACACAGATCACTTCTGACTGAGAGAGCAGCCAGTTCCGAGATACACCTAGCCGACGTGATGGCTACCAGAAAGGCAACCTTCAAAGAGAGGAAATAAAGTGAGCAAGACCCTATGGGCTCGAATGGTGTCATCGAGAGGGCTTGTAACACCTTTGGTAAATCCCATGAATGATATCGATGCACTGTGGGGGGCCTAGTGTTAATTGCCCCTTTTAGGAAAGCGGCAACTGCCGGGTGTTGAGACAGGGAATGAAAGTTGTCACACGTGAGGACCGTTGACAGGGCGGCAATCTGTCTGCGGATAGTACTATGTGAAAGATCCTTATTCAATCCCTCTAAAAGGTATTCTAAGATGTCAGGAATAGTAACCTTTAAAGGTCTAAGACTATGGGTGATACACCATTGACAAAAATTCCTCCATGTGGCGTCATAAATTCTATTAGTGGAGGGTCTCCTTGAGGCTTGTATCATGGATATGACCTCCGATGAATAGGACTGTCTGACTAAACTCTGCCGCTCAAGTGCCAAGTGGCTAGTTGGAGCCACTGGGGATCTGGATGTTGGAGATTCCCTTGACTGAGTGCTATGTGGCTCGGCGGAATCCTCCACGGAGGAGATACTGACAAGTCCACGAGGTCCGCAAACCACGGCCGTCTTGGCCAGTGTGGGACCGCCAAGATTACCTCCGCCTGTTCAAGAAGGACCTTGCGAATGGTAGCCTGAATGAGTGGAAGCAGGGGAAAGGCATAAAGCAGTTCCTTCGGCCACTTGCTGCGGAGGGCATCCGTTCCCTCCGCCCCCGGCGACAGGAACCTGGTGAAATACCTTGGAAGATGGGAATTTGCATCCGAGGCAAACAAATCCACCTGTAGTTGTCCGAACCACTTTGAAATTTCCAGGAACAGAGCCGGGTCCAGCCTCCATTCTGAGTGGTTGACTGTCGCTCTGCTCAGTGAATTGGCTTGGCAATTCGCCTCTCCTGATATGTGCTCCGCACAGATGGACTTCAGGTTGGACTCTGCCCACAGCCCCAGATCCAGTGTTTCCTGCATGAGGGACCATGACCAAGTCCCTCCCTGTCTGTTGACGTGTGCCTTGGCTGCTACGTTGTCCGTCATTATCAGGAAATGGTTCCCCGCCACGATCTCGGAAAAGTGATGGAGGGCTAGATGTATTGCTCTCAACTCTAGCCAATTTATATTGTGTCTGAGATCTGATTGAGACCATTGACCCTGTGCCATGTGTATCTGGAGATGTGCCCCCCAGCCAAATAGGCTGGCATCCGTGGTCAGCTTGAATCTGGGAGATTCCTTGAATAGGGACCCCCTGTTCAATGCCAACGACGTCCACCATAGGAAGGACGACAGGATGTGGTGTGGCACTCTCACCTTCCTTGTTGAGGCACTCACGTTCCATCTCTGGAAGGGTAGAAGGAACCACTGGAGGCCTCTAGAGTGCAGTCTGTCCCATGGAACAATGTCCAGACAGGACACCATCTTGCCCAACAGCTGAGACAACTGGATGAGACTACCTTCTCTCTCCGGATCCTTAGACGAGCGACCTGATGCTGTCCTTGCATTCCTGAGAGAGATAAACCTTGCACAGGACAGAATCTATTATAGTCCCTAGGTGGAGGATTCGAGTGGAAGGGACTATGTGACTCTTTTTGAAGTTTATCTAGAATCCGTGTGCCTGCATTGTCTCTATTGTGATCTGTAGGTCCAATTGGGTGGAATGGAAAGATCTGGATAGGATGATTATATCATCCAGGTAACATTGTACGCGCACCGGCACCAATCTGAGGTGGGCTGCTATCACTGCCAATATTTTTGTGAATACCCGAGGAGCCGAAGAGAGGCGGAAGAGTAGTGCTCTGTATTGGTAATGCCGGTGCGCATAACAAAACCAGAGGAATTTGCGGTGTTGTGGGAGGATGGGAATGTGAAGATACGCTTTGGTCAAATCTATCGAGGAGAGAAAATCCCCTTTTCTGATGCTGGCCAGAATTGATTTGAGGGATTGCATTTTGAATCTCCTGTAGGCTAGGAAGTAATTTAGCCCCTTTAGATCTAGAATCGCCCTCCAACCTCCCAAGGCCTTTGGAACTACGAATAGTAGTACCCCTTTCCTATCTGATCCCTTGGTACCGGTTCTATGGCCTCTATGTGTAGTAGATGAGATAGTTTTGAGCGTTTCTTGAGGTGGGGCACTGAATGAAGTGGTCTGACAGAATGGAGAGGAACTCTAAAGCAA